ACACATATATATTCAACACACACAGAGGATTACACACGAGATATACTATATAAGCGCGTGCGTGTGTACGTTCGCGTTGCGTGTGTGTGTTGAATATATATTTGTGTGCGCGATTCAAATTCATAAGTCTTAGTGTTGGATATTGTATCTACCACACACACACATAAACATATCTACCCCACACACACACACACTTGCCACCATATCTAACACATGCAAGCTTAAATATATCACACACGTATTCACTCCCACACACACACACCTACCACCATACTTAATACATGCAAACTTTAACATGTAATGCACACGTGTACACACCCATACGGTACAACAATCCCCCATATAGCTTTTGGCAAATTGTCGTGGCAAATTTTGTTAGCGAGCACCTATGAAGGCTGGTACGGCACACAAGAGTGTGGTGTTACCAGATCCACGCCTGGCCGTCTTTGTTTCACCAGTGCTGATGTTTATTCAGTACAACACACGTGGTACTCCTTTAAGACTAAGTCAACCTAGGGGAGGAGAAGCACCGGTTAAGACAACTGTCATTGGTGTTGGCCATGAGCGGGATTCGTAGTGCAGCTTACAAACTGCTATACTTCCGCTCCCCACACACTCGCGAACACATACACACCGACACACAGTCTCAAATACTTACACACACACACGTAATCGCATATCTTCACACACAAGACTCACACATACAGACACTCTCACATACTCACAAATATACTCACTGGTACGCACACGCACACACAAAGACACAGATCCTCACCATATCCTTCAACAGACTGTTGGGGCAAGTGCTGCTAGGGAGCACCTATGAAGCCCGCCGATACGGTACACGAGGGGGTCAGTGGCCAGCAACACACCAGGCCGCCTTGTCTCCGCAGTGGGCGATGTTTACACATTGCATCAGGTACCCATTTGAGGCTGAGTCCACCTAGGACAAGTTCAGATATTTCACTGGTGTTGGCCGTGAGCAGCAATCGAACTCGGGTTGCCAGGTCCCCAGCGCAGCACGCTAACCGTTACGTTCCCGCTCCCCGCAGCACAAAAAAAGACAAAACACACGCATGTACACATGGACATACATACACACGCGCACTCACACTCTCTCTCTCACACTCACTTGCATAACCACACACAACACACGTATACACAAACACACAAACGTATGCAATGCAGGCAGGCGAGGCAGGCAGCACACACACACACACAAACAAACAAAACAAACACGTAAACACACACACAAGCAGGGAGACGGATGAGTGACAGGGCGGTCGGGTGATTTTTAAAAACACAGACCGACCCGGCTTGGCCCTCGGGACACTAAATAAATATATAAGGGCATTATAAAAGTGGGAGATGAAAAAGAGGGGTGGTGGTGGCGGTGGTGGTGGCGGTGGTGGTAGGGGGGTTGGTTGGTGGTGGCGATGGTGGTGGTAGAGGGGGGTTGGTTGGTGGTGGTGGTGTGAGCTGCTGCTGCTGCTACATACACGGGGCTTGGAGGAGGATGATGTGTGGGTTGCGGGGTTGGGTGAGGGCTGCTGTGTTCTAGGCTGGGGTTAAAATCCCAAGACTCTTGGCCAGAGGCAAACACGGCTCAGCCTCTAACAAGCGGGCAGGGGATGAGCGAGGAATATTAAACACGGAGGGGAGCGAGTGTACACACACACACGCACATATAGGCACAAACACACACGTGTCCACATATAGGCGGCTAGGGTGGCGGCAGCAGTGATGACCCTGCTTGTGTCTCACGGCAAGAAGGACCTGGGGGGTTTGATTCCCGACTCGGGTGCCTTTCTGCATGTGTAGAAATTGTACGTTCTCCCCCTGTATCTGTATGGGATAATCTCTAGGTTCTTCGGTTTCCCCTCGTAGCGACAAAAAAAAACGTACAATGTAACCGACATTGGGGGAAAATATCTCAATGCCAAAAAAAAATTCCCACTAAATTGCTGAATTGGGATCGCGCGCAGCAGCAGCAACATCCGAAAACTGAGCAGGACCCTCTCGTAAAAGAGTCTTGAGACTCCGTGAGCTTTCCTGGATAAACAAGCGCAGTAGTAGTAGTAATAATAATAGCCACCGTGAGTGTGGCGAGCGAGTGTGTACGAGTGGTTCGTGGACAATGCTACTAACCTGTGACCTTAATGAGAGCTTGCAGACACACATACACACGTGTGTACACCTACAAAGCGATATATACACAGTTAATGAATACGTGTGTATGTGTGTATGTACGTTTAGGGTTAGTGAGTGTGAGAGCGGAGACCGGTTGTCCCCGCTGCATGACTCGCCTTCCATTCCCACTCACGGCCAACACCGGTGACGATTAACTGAACCAGTTCTGGGACTCGCCTAGGTCGACTCAGCCTTGAATGGTGCCATGGAGGCGAGATGTAAACTGTTTTGCCTGATATTTTGGAGGTCATGTGTTTGATCCCGACCCTGACGCCTGCTGTATATTTGGACTTTGCATATCTCTCTTTCACCGTGGTCGCATGGATTTTTCTCCGGGTCCTCCGTTTTTTCCCCCACCACATTTGGAATGAATGTGCATTTAAAGTAATTTTTCTGCTATACATTTTCACGTGACAAGCCACTTGGCTGAGCTATCATTTGTGGCCAGGTCGCTTCTGAAAGAGAGATATATAGCTCAGTGGGCCTTACCCGGTAAAGTAAAAAAAAATTAGTTTGCATTTTTTTTTAGTTGCGACTGATTACCTGGTGCAGTGTGGAAATATCAGCACCGGGGAGACAAAGGCGGGTGGGCATGGTGCCACGCCACATCACCCATACCTGCGCACTGTGCCCACCTTAATAGGCGCTCGTCAACAGCACTTGCCCCAGCAGTCCGTCAAAGGCTATATGTGGGATCTTATATTTTTGCTGTGTGCCTCTATAAAACTCTATGCGTATAATTGTGTGTTTATGATCCATGTATATATATGCATGTGTTTGCATGGCTAGGTATTTGCACACTGCGCGAAAAGCCCACTGACCTCGGTTAGAGAGAGGAGAGACGCAGAGACTGAGGGAGAAAGAGACAAAGATAGGGAAAGACAGAGACCAGATCTCAACTCAAGACACTGATCCTGATACCCGGTCTCAACTCAAGAAACTGACCCTGAGACCCTGTCTCAACTCAAGACAATGACCTTGAGACCCGGTCTCAACTCAAGAAACTGACCCTGAGACCCGGTCTCAACTCAAGACACTGAACCTGAGACCCGGTCTCAACTCAAGACACTGATCCTGCGACCCGGTCTCAACTCAAGAAACTGACCCTGAGACCCGGTCTCAACTCAAAACACTGATCCTGCGACCCGGTCTCAACTCAAGACAATGACCTTGAGACCCGGTCTCAACTCAAGACAGTGATCCTGAAACCTGGTCTCAAGATACTGATCATGAAAGCCGGCCTCAAGACACTCATGATAATAATAATAAGAAGTGTTTAGCCTGGATAATGAAATGCTTATTTATGCAATTTTATGAAGATGTTCTCTTCGTTAAAATGTATAATTTTCCAACAGGGGGTTAAGAATTTTGAGAAGTTTGATATTTTTGCCGACATTAATCGCTCATCTGTGGTTGTTTTTTTGTGAGCGAGTGCATTGAGAATAAGGAATGAAAATCTTCGCTGAGGCTGTTCCCATGTGAACCTTTAAATTCTGAAAAGTTTCACTCATTCTAGTTTATCTAAGTGTATACGTATATACGTTTTATATATATGTAGTGTTTATTTTATTTGATTTTTCTACCTACGTGACTTTACCGAAAGAACCAAAGAGTATGGATTCCTGCAGTCACGAAAGCTGCAAATCAAGATCATAGAGTATATACGTAGTGTTCTTTATTGGAGGCACACACTTGAACTTGGGAGGCAACACGTTTACTTACTCAGCCCAACAGGGACCGCTACGGAACATTTCACAAGTTAACTAGACCCCAACAGGGCAACTATAGAACAAGGTCGGTCAGTAACGCACTGACAACCATCCCGTCACGTATACGACCGACGACCCAGGGCGAAAACCAAAGAGCGAGGACCGTAGGACGTGCCGACTTCCCCCAGAGCCTCGATCGCTCTCAGGACCCCGGCTTTTATGCCGCTGAGCGTGGCCTTGCCCCGCCCTCGGCCACGCCCACTTCTGGATCTTTCCAGAAGCTTCTTGACCCTCATCACGGGTCCCCCGAGCCCCCTTTTGGGCCCGCTCGTGACTCTGTCCCGGTCAAGTGCCCTCTCGGGTTCACAGAGAGCATCACGTCCTCATTTGCTCCTTCTCCGACCCTCACCAGAACTATGCCCCCTATGCCCGCTTCCATGTCAACCCAATTCTGGTGGCAGAGAGAATCCCGACGTACGCTTCCACTCTCGTGACAGCAATGGGCGCTAACGCCATTGTGACCCCTTTTACGCCACTACACATACGAGGGGTGGAGAGCAGCGAGTGATCGGGTAAGTGAGCGAGTGAACAAGCATCATCAATTCCACTTCCACAATCATCACCACCACCGCCATCACCACGACCATCACCACCTTTCAAAAGACAAAGATCCCCCTAGAGTCTTAAAAAACTGCTGGGGCAAAAATTGTTAGCGAGCACCTATGAAGGCCGGCACGGCACACTAGGGGCTGGGTGCCTCACGCCACGCCTAGGCTGCCTGTCTCCCCAGTGGCGATGTTTACACATCGCACCAGCTACCCATTTGAGGCTGAGCCGACCGAGGGGAGGCCCAGGACCAGTTCAGACAATCGTCACTGGTGTTATCTATAAGTGGGAATCAAACTCGGGTCGCCGGGTTCGTAGCGCAGCGAGCTAACCGCTTACACTACCACTCCCCACCATCACCACCATCAAATCTCTATCATCACCACCACCACCAACCCCCCCTATCTGTAACTACTATCACCACCTCCACGACCTACACCAACACCACCACCGCACCTCATCACCACCGCCGCACCTCACCCATCACGACCGCACCTCATCGTGGCGACGACGTCGCACAGGAACTTGAGGCCCTCATGCCAGTTGGCGCGGCTGCTGGCGGCGGCGGCCCTGAGGGCGTCGGCCAGGCCTCCGGCGAGCAGGTCCGCAAGCCACGGCCGCCACCCCGGGCCGGAGTCGAGCGCGTCGCGCGTCCACTCGAGGTAGGAGGCCACCACGGGCCACCACGGCCCCCCGCCGCCACCGCCACGGGGCACGGGGGGGGGGGCCGCGACCAACGAGCCGAGCTCCGAGCAGAGGCGAGACGGCACGGAGAGGAGCGCAGGGGCCACCGCGGTGGGGTCACAGCGCAGGTGGCACAGCGAGAAGAGGCCTGGGGAGGAAAAGGGGAGAGGAGAGATGAGGATGGGAGAGGTGAGGAGGGGAGAGGTGGATGAGTGAGTGAGTAGGTGAACAGGTGGGTGGGTGAGAAAATAGGTGAGTGAGTGAGTAAATGCGAGGATGAGTGGGTCGGTGAGTGGGTGAGTGAGTGGGTGAGTGAGCGATGTGAGCGAGCTGGTGGGTGAGTGGGAGTTGGCAGGTGAGGAGCCGACAGGGACGGCGAGTGAGTGGGCGGATAGCGAAAGCGATAGAGTGCATGGGAGAGTCAGCGAGTGATGGCCGTGTTAAAACGGGCGCCTCGGTGGCTAGGAGATGTTAACTACCACGCCTGGTGTACAGGAGGTCGTGGGTTCGATCCCGACCCTGACGCCTCCTGCTGTATATTTGGAGTGTGCGTGTCTCTCTCTCTCATCATCACGGTGGCTAGGAGATGTTAACTACCTCGCCTGGTGTACAGGAGGTTGTGGGTTCGATCCCGACACTGACGCCTTCTGCTGTATATTTGGAGTTTGCGTGTCTCTCTCTCCCAGTGGTCGCGTGGATTTTTCTCCGGGTCCTCCGGATTTTCCCCCCACATTCAGAATATACGTCATGCGTTCATAGAGTATTTGGCCGCTATAAATTTCCACACGATGATAAGGCACTTAGTTGAGCTATAATTTGTGTTGGCCAGGTCGCTTCCAAAAAAGAGCCATACAGCTCAGTGCGCCCTTACCTGGTAAGATAGAAAGAGTAGAGTATCGTGTCGACACTGACCGTGTAGTTACTCATCAAGTCCTTGACTCGGTCCCCGGCCCGGTGTGTCGGACACGGCCATCGCGAGCCCACTCACCTCTCCACACGGCGAGACGCACGGCCATCGAGTCCGCATCCACCAGGTCGAGCAGCTCCAACATCCGTGACGTCACTTCCTGCAGCTGAAGATAAAACCGTGACCAAACCCAAAAAAAAAAGGAGTCGACCCATCGAATGGCGAGTCATTTGAACGCAGTTATACGTAAGCTCACGGGATATTATTTGACGTGAAATGAGGGGTGTGGGGTGAGAAAAAAAACTCCGTTCAAATCATCACACCTGCCAAACCAGGTGTGATGGTTTGGCACCGTAGGTCACATCACTTCGACTTTCCGCTCCACTTTGTAAATCCTTCCCTTCCCCCCGCCCCCCCCCCCCCCCGCGAATCGTCTGTTTTCCCAAGCACTTATTGCCTTCTTTGATGAGTAAATGAAATAAATAAATAAAAACTCATCAACTCGTATGTTACAACCGTGATAGCGCCGTTTGTTGCTGGACGCTTAAAGTTTTTTGAGCTGCGCAAAGCAAAAAAAAAAACGAAAGTTAAACATTATAATTAGAAAAACATTCTGTTAATAAAAATTATTATTTAAAAAAAAATATACACAATTAAAAATTAAAACGCGCAAGCATCGCTCCTTCCCATCCCTGCGTAAAAACCCGAGCTCACGTCCGACTCAGCCGCCCCTTCCTCCGCAGCCTGCGACGTCTCTTGCCGTTCCGCTACGGCCACCGCGATAGACAGAAAGAGGCGCACGAAGTTGTGGATGCCGGCCTCGCCGAGGTCCTGCATCCGCCGCTTATGGAATTTGGAGTAAATTCTGTGTCGGGAGGGAGGTGAGGGTGGTAGGTGAGGGAGGTGAGGGTGGTAGGTGAGGGAGGGAGGGTGGTAGGTGAAGGAGGGAGGGTGGTAGGTGAGGGAGGGAGGGAGGGAGGGAGGGAGGGAGGGAGGGAGGCGACAGTGAGTTGAATTGAGAGGTCGCTGGGTGGCTCGCTCACTCACTCACCCACACAAAGACATCTACTCACTCATAATAAGGTTTTTTTTGGGTTAGATCGCGTAAATATAAATGTGTCGTTAAAACCTCCACCACCCGACAGAGCCAATTAGTAAGGGTTGTCCCGTAAACAAAACGTGCGAATTCGTTACTAGTTCAGCACACTGGTGTCTTGGTTGTGCCGGGTGGTGGCGGGTTTAACGACACATTTATATATTGACGCGATCTAAACCAAAAACTCTTATGGAAAATATTGGTCACGAAAGGCTACGCATTAAATTCACTCACTCACCCATTCACCCTCTCATTAACCCACTCACCAATACATTCACTCATTTTGTCTCCCAGCCAGGCATCCACTCACCCGCTCACACAAAGTTTCACTCGCTTACCCAACCACTAACTGATCCACCCACCCATACATCCACCCACTCACTCAGTCAACCAATCAGTCTCCCAGCCAGACACCAAATCCCTCATTCGCTTTATCACTCATCACTACTACCGAGACAGTCACTCACTCATTCACTTCATCGCTCATTCATTCATTCACCCATCCACTCACTCATTCAGTCTCCCACCCAAATATCCACTCAATCACCCACTCATTCACATACCCACAACCGAGTTGGAACTAACAGGACCATGGGTTACACTGCATTTCCACTCACGCCAACTCGCAAATTGGCCATAATGCGCTTCTGCTTCCTCTCACCTGCCCTTGATCTGGGCCCACGATCGCATACCGGGTCTCCCACATCGACCAATCAGGTAGCCAGAAAGGATGGCCACGAAGAGTTGGAAGCTGCTCCGTGATTGGATGGAATTGGCACGGTGGGCAGGGCTTAGCGGGCAGCACGCCCGGACTTCGGCTAATTGGAGCGCAGGTGAGGTGGTGGCGTTGACCAATCCCTGCAGGCCGAGCCTCGGCACGTTGAAGAGATCGTTCTGTACGAGAGACCATCAGCCACGATCGATCCACTGCTGGATGAAGGCTTGAGCCGAGGAACTCAAGAGATTAATGGCTTATATTATTACTCACAGAGGTACAGATTTAGGACTCAAAAACCCACGATGTCAGAATATGTCTGACACAGCCCTTTTAAAGTCCCTAAAATAAAAAAAAAGAAGACATAATCCCAAGAACTCGAGATTACCGGCTTATAGCCCTGACAGCCATAATGACCCTCCAAAGAGAGAGAGTGAGACAGAGAGATAAGGAGAGAGAGAGACCCGGACCCAGGACTCAAACCAGGTACTCAAAAGCTACTGGTTTGTAGCCCTGACACGGCATTGACTGTCGCAACATCCTCCAATAGAAAGAATCGGAATGTGTATCTATACTGGAGAAATCCGATGAGCTACAACGCTCTTTTTCACAGATGTCCAGTAGGGGCAGTAAAGAGACACACCGATGTGCAGGAGCCGAACACAGGCTCTGCGGAGTTACCAGCTCTCCCTCTCCAACATGCTCATTATGAACTCCTTAAGAGACATATTTAGACAACCCCCCGGTCCCAGGCACTCAAACAACAGTGCCCCCCCCCCCCCCCCCCACGTGCTCAAGAGGCCACCGGCTCCGCTTCCTCACCAGCCGCTTGCTGTAGAACTCCCACAGGAAGGCGACCACAGCCACGCTCGGCTCCCAGAGGTCACACAGGGACAGCGTGTGGATGAGGCTGGCTCGGAGACACTCCTCTCTCTGGCAGTGCTAACGAGAGTCGACGACACGCCACCACCATCACCACCATCATCATCATTATCATCACCATCATCACCATCACCACCATCACCACCATCACCACCATCACCATCACACCATCACCACCATCACCACCAACCATCACCACCACCACCACCATCATCACCAAAAATTGTTGGTAGTGTTGGTTTCTCACCGCCTGGCTGCTGCTGCCTTCCCACGTGTCTGTGGTCCCTCGGGGAATACGAAGCTGTAAAGATACGGCTTCTACTCTTGCTGCTGCTGATGATGCTGCTGCTGTTGCTGATGGTGATGAGGTGCATGACGAAGATGTTGATACTCCTGGTGAATGATGATGACGGTAATGATGCAGCTGATATTGATACAGCCGATGATACTAACGATGAAAATATGCTACTGATTAGTTATGAAAATGCTGCTGCTGATAGTGATGTCACTAGTTAAGAGCAGAGGATACTGTTGACGATGCACTCATACCTGTGAATCGAAACACTTCCTCAGGAATTCCTCCATCAGCGGCCAATTACTCTGAAACTGGATTCACAACACGGATTAGCACACGAGTGAGTGAGTGGGTGGATGAGTGAGCAAATGAGTGAGTAGGTGGTTGAGTGAGTGAATGGGCGAGTGAGTAAGTGGGTAGTTAGGTGGGCTGGTGAATGAACGAAAGTGTGGGTGAATGAGTGAGTGAATGAGTAAGTTGTGGAAAGCATTAGTGTAGCGGTTTGCACGCTACTAACCCGGCGACCTGAGTTCGATTCCCACTCAAGGCCAACACTAGTGACGATTATCTGAACCAGTCCTGGGCCTCCTCTAGGTCAACTCAGCCTCAACATAAGTACTTGGTGCAGTGTGTAAACGATGCCATTAAGGAGACAAAAGCGGCGGGGTCGTGGTGTTGGCCACCCACCCCCTCGTGTGCCGTGCCAGCCTTCATAGGTGCTCGCTAACAGCACTTGCCCCAACAGTCTGTTAAAGGCTATATGATGGACCTTTGTCTGTCTTTGAATGGGTGAGTAGGTGGGTGAGTGAGTGTGCATATGAATATGTGAAGGTGTTGCCCAAATGCTGGACGTAACCCTCACGTATATCACTTAACCCAACCCGGACACAGCCAAAAATCCATAGCACCAAACGTGACCCGAAAACCAACCCCTAATACTATCCCTAACCACGACCCCTACCGCAACCACCAACCCCACCACCAGAACTGATGTAAACGCTAACCCTTAACACCAGCCCTAGCAGTTCCATTACCCCGACTCTAACCTCGACCCCAACCCATAACTCCTTGCCTACCCCCCCCCGCCCCACCTTCCTCTCCCCTCACCGTCTCCCACTCCTCCTCCACTGGTCTCCGTTTCCCCCCCCTTCACCCCTTGCCCCCTCTTCCCGCCCCTCCACCTCACCGTCTCCTCCTCCCCTCCCCGCGTCGCCTTCGCCCCAAGTGACGCGACGTTAGCCAGCAGCCAAACGCCCATGGCGAGGGGATCCCTCGCTCCCCTCAACCCCTCCACCACGCCTCCCCTTCCTCCACCACCATCGCCACCTCCTCCTCCTCCTCCCTGTGTCGCGTGTCCAAGTGCGAGAGAGAACTCGGCCCAGAATGGCTGCGGGATGCAACAACGCGGCGATTGTATCAGAGGACATCGTTAATAACTCATTAAATTATTACGAATAAATTATTTTAACTTGACCAGGTAAGGCCCACTGAGCTGCGTAGCTCTTTTTCAAGTGACAGCCCAACGAAGCGGCTTACCGTCGTGTGGAAATTTAGCGCAGTTAAATACTCTGAACACGTGACGATGATTCGTAAAACGTAGGGGGGAAAAACCGGAGGACGCGGAGAAAAATCCGCGCGACCACGGGGAGAGAGAGACACGCAAACTCCGAATCTACAGCAGCAGCAGACGTCAGGGTCGAGACCGAACCCACGACCTCCTGGATAGCAGACGAGGCAGTTAACATCTCCTAGCCACGGTGGCGCCCCTTTGAGTGGCACCCAGAGGTCGGCAACAAAGAGGAAAAAAAGACCAAAGTCCAGACGGTGGTGGTTGGTGGTGGTCGTGAGACTATGAAGAAAGTTATGGAGGTCAAGGTGTCGACGGTGCGACATTTCTTGGATGTGGCAGAGGAAGTCAAATCCCTATTACATCGGCTCCAATGCTCACGATGCACTTGTCTCTGATGGGGTCTCCTAACAATGGCAGACAGACAGACCAGTCTCTGATGGGGTCTCTCAACAATGACAGACAGGTCTCTGATGGGGTCTCCAGACAGTGGCAGACAGACCAGTGTCTGATGAAGTCTCGAGACAAAGACAGACAGAGCAGTGTATGTGGGGTCTCTAGACAGTGACAGACAGACCTGTCTCTGATGGGGTCTCCAGACAGTGGCAGACAGACCAGTGTCAGATGGAGCCTCTAAAGACTGACAGACAGAACAATCTCTGATGGAGTCTCTAGACCGTGACAGACAGACAGACCAGTGTCTGATGGAGCCTCTAAAGACTGACAGACAGACCTGTCTCTGATGGAGTCTCTAGACAATGACAGACGGGGGTGGGGGGGGTTCAAGGTGCAACCACGCACTCACACAACCGCCAGTGGTAGGGCCCACGCATGCAGGGAGCTCTTGCGGTGAGCCGTTCCCTCACCTGGGTGAGGAACGTTTTGTGTCGATGATTGAGGAATATGAGAACCATTGTCCACATCTCTCGCACGCAGCCACAGGGAAACGGGTCCTGAGTGACCTCTTCGAATGGCGTTAGCTGTGGAAAAAACAACAAGAGATGAGAATATAGACTCACGGACCAGTCTGTGATGGAGTTTCCAGATAATGACAAGACAGACCAGTTTATGATGGAGTCTCTTAGACAAAGACAGACAGACTGGTCTCTGATGGAGTCTCTCAGACAAAGACAGAAAGACTGGTCTCTGATGGAGTCTCTTAGACAAAGACATACAGACTGGTCTCTGATGGAGTCTCTTAGACAAAGACATACAGACTGGTCTCTGATGGAGTCTCTTAGACATAGACAGACTGGTCTCTGATGGAGTCTCTTAGACATAGACAGACTGGTCTCTGATGGAGTCTCTTAGACAGTGACAGACAGACTGGTCTCTGATGGAGTCTCTTAGACAAAGACAGACAGACTGGTCTCTGATGGAGTCTCTAGATAAAGACAGACAGACTGGTCTCTGATGGAGTCTCTTAGACAAAGACAGACAGACTGGTCTCTGATGCAGTCTCTAGACAAAGACAGACAGACTGGTCTCTGATGGAGTCTCTTAGACAAAGACAGACAGACTGGTCTCTGATGGAGTCTCTTAGACAAAGACAGACAGACTGGTCTCTGATGGAGTCTCTAGACAAAGACAGACAGACTGGTCTCTGATGGAGTCTCTAGACAAAGACAGACAGACTGGTCTCTGATGGAGTCTCTTAGACAAAGACAGACAGACTGGTCTCTGATGGAGTCTGTTAGACAATGACAGACAGACTGGTCTCTGATGGAGTCTCTTAGACAAAGACAGACAGACTGGTCTCTGATGGAGTCTCTTAGACAAAGACAGACAGACTGGTCTCTGATGGAGTCTCTTAGACATAGACAGACAGACTGGTCTCTGATGGAGTCTCTTAGACAACGACAGACAGACTGGTCTCTGATGGAGTCTCTTAGACAATGACAGACAGACTGGTCTCTGATGGAGTCTCTTAGACAAAGACAGACAGACTGGTCTCTGATGGAGTCTCTTAGACAAAGACAGACAGACTGGTCTCTGATGGAGTCTCTTAGACATAGACAGACTGGTCTCTGATGGAGTCTCTAGACAATGATAGACAGACTGGTCTCTGATGGAGTCTCTTAGACAACGACAGACAGACTGGTCTCTGATGGAGTCTCTTAGACAATGATAGACAGACAGACTGGTCTCTGATGGGGGTCTCTAGACAAAGACAGACAGACTGGTCTCTGATGGAGTCTCTCAGACAATGACAGACAGACTGGTCTCTGATGGAGTCTCTAGACAAAGGCAGACAGACTGGTCTCTGATGGAGTCTGTTAGACAAAGACAGACATACTGGTCTCTGATGGAGTATCTTTGACAAAGACAGACAGACTGGTCTCTGATGGAGTATCTATACAAAGACAGACAGACAGACTGGTCTCTGATGGAGTCTCTTAGACAATGACAGACAAAGACTGGTCTCTGATGGAGTCTCTTAGACAATGACAGACAGACTGGTCTCTGATGGAGTCTCTAGACAAAGACAGACAGACTGGTCTCTGATGGAGTCTCTTAGACAATGACAGACAAAGACTGGTCTCTGATGGAGTCTCTTAGACAATGACAGACAGACTGGTCTCTGATGGAGTCTCTAGACAAAGACAGACAGACTGGTCTCTGATGGAGTCACTAGATAATCATAGACAGACTGGTCTCTGATGGCGTCTCTTAGACAGTGACAGACAGACCAGTTTATGATGGAGTCTCTTAGACAAAGACAGACAGACTGGTCTCTGATGGGGTCTCTTAGACAAAGACAGAGAGACTGGTCTCTGATGGAGTCTCTTAGACAAAGACAGACAGACTGGTCTCTGATGGAGTCTCTTAGACAAAGACACAGACTGGTCTCTGATGGAGTCTCTTAGACAAAGACAGACAGACTGGTCTCTGATGGAGTCTCTTAGACAAAGACATACAGACTGGTCTCTGATGGAGTCTCTTAGACATAGACAGACTGGTCTCTGATGGAGTCTCTTAGACAAAGACAGACAGACTGGTCTCTGATGGAGTCTCTTAGACAAAGACAGACAGACTGGTCTCTGATGGAGTCTCTAGACAAAGACAGACAGACTGGTCTCTGATGGAGTCTCTTAGACAATGACAGACAGACTGGTCTCTGATGGAGTCTCTTAGACAAAGACAGACAGACTGGTCTCTGATGGAGTCTCTTAGACAAAAACAGACAGACTGGTCTCTGATGGAGTCTCTAGATAGAGACAGACAGACTGGTCCTGATAGAGTCTCTAGACAAAGACAGACAGACTGGTCTCTGATGGAGTCTCTTAGACAATGACAGACAGACTGGTCTCTGATGGAGTCTCTTAGACAATGACAGACAGACTGGTCTCTGATGGAGTCTCTTAAACAAAGACAGACAAACTGGTCTCTGATGGAGTCTCTTAGACAATGACATACAGACTGGTCTCTGATGGAGTCTCTTAAACAAAGACAGACAAACTGGTCTCTGATGGAGTCTCTTAGACAATGACATACAGACTGGTCTCTGATGGAGTCTCTTAAACAAAGACAGACAGACTGGTCTCTGATGGAGTCTCTTAAACAAAGACATACAGACTGGTCTCTGATGGAGTCACTAGACAATGATAGACAGACTGGTCTCTGATGGGGTCTCTTAGACAGTGACATACAGACTGGTGGAGTCTCTTAGACAAAGACAGACAGACTGGTCTCTGATGGGGTCTCTAGACAATGCAAAAAATAATACTTAAGGACATGAGAGAGAGAGAGACATACCTTGTTGTGTTTATTAACGGCAACTTGAACGAGGTCGGTCATTAACGAACGAACCAGGTCATCAATAAACGAGCTGGGTGTTTCACAGTCAAATCTATATGGCTGGATACCTATTGTGAAACACACACACAAACACAAACACGCACAAACACGCACGCACACGCACATACATACACATATAATTGGACCAACAAATACAACGATCCCCTCCCCTCCCACATATCCATACGCAGTCGGGGTCAAGTGCTGTTAACCGAGCGCACATTAATTAAGGCCGGCATGGCGCACGAGTGGCTCTGTGTGGCTAGCACCATGCCCGGCTGCCTTTGTCTTTCCCCAGTGCTGATTATTTACGCACTCTGCCAAGCAGTCATAGTCCACCTCGGGGAGGCCCAGGGCCCGTTCAGATCATCGTCACTGGTGTTGGCTGTGAGCGGGAATCGAACTCGGACCGCCGGTTCGTAGCACAGTGCGCTAACCACTACACTACCGCTCCCCACATACCGTTGAAGGACTATGACACAGCCATCATGAACCACTGTCAGAGACACCCAGACTAAGGACTCGAACGCAGATCCTTAGCATTACCGGCTCAGTATCTCTGACGTGGCCATTATGAACCCCGCGAGAGTGGTGCTGGCTCAGGGTGCTGTGGTGGCGAGGAGATGTTAACTACCTCGCCTGGTATACAGGAGGCCGTGGGTTCGATTCCGACCCTGACGCCTGCTGCTGTATATTTGAAGTTTTCGTGTCTCTCTCTCTCATCATCATCATCACGGTGTCTAGGAGATGTTAACTACCTCGCCTGGTATACAGGAGGTCGTGGGTTCGATCCCGACCCTGACACCTGCTGCTGTATATTTGAAGTTTTCGTGTCTCTCTCTCTCATCATCATCACGGTGTCTAGGAGATGTTAACTACCTCGCCTGGTGTACAGGAGGCCGTGGGTTCGATTCCGACCCTGACGCCTACTGCTGTATATTTGGAGTGTGCGGTCTCTCCCCCCACGCTCACGTGGATTTGTCTCTGGGTCCTCCGGTATTTCCCTCCACATTTAGGATCAACGTGCGCTTAAAAGAGTGCCATCAATTGTGGCCAGGTCGCTTCTGAAAAAAAGCTAAAGAGCTCAGTGGGCCTCGCATGGTAACATAAAAACAAATAGTTTAAATACTTTAGTTTGACATCTCCGACAAGGCCATCGTTAATTATTTGCGTTTTAAGAAATGTAAACTCGTTTGATTGAAGCGCTGATTTTTTTTATTTCACGAGCACTGTCGAGGGACTCTATGGCTGGAAGCAAATGCGTGAATGCAAGTGAAATGAATTTCAAAGTATCCCGTCAGTTTGAACATGCAGTTATAAAACTCCTCCCTTTAAACTTCTGATTTTCTTGAGGGAGCCGTAGTGTGTATGGGTCCCAGATCGCCGTAATTACCAGCGAGCTTAATTAAATGCCCTTTTTACTCTATTTTCTGAGCCACGTGTGTGTGTCTGAGAGCGAGTGGGGGGGGGGGGGTGGACTGTTGAGTGGACGGTTACCGTTGTGAAGTTTAAAGTACCAGTTTGGATTTGAGGTGCAAAGTGGGAGAGGTGACTGGGGATAGTTAGGGTGGGAATTGTGAAGGCAGAGCAAATGCTAATGGTTCATAATAGCTCTGTCAAAGACATTGACCAGGACGGCTAAGAACATGAGTTTGAGACTGGGCCTAGGTGTTTTATCTCACATGGGGTTCATAATGGGCATAATGGGCATGTTGAAAATACTGTTTCAGCGCTGCTTACATCCTAGTTTTGAGCCGAGGGTCTCAGTCTATATTTGTACATCTCTCTCTCTCATTCAGTGTTCATATGACATTCACAGCACGGTTGACTATGTACGGCGCGAAAGAAGTTATACATACATACATACAACCTCATACACACTCGCACATGTTCGGTCACACATACACTCTTACAAAAGACAAAGATCCCCCATATAGCTTTAAGAGACGGTTGGGGCCAGTGCTGTTAGCGAGCACCTATGAAGGCCGGCACGGTACACGAGCGGGGCGGGTGGCCAGCACCACGCCCGACCGCCTTTGTCTGCTTCAGTGACGATGTTTACACACCGCACCAGGTACTCACTTGAGGCTGAGTCGACCTAGGGGAGGCCCAGGATTCGGTTCAGATATTCACCACTGTTATTGGTCGTGAGCGGGAAACAAACTCGGGTCGCTGTGTTCGTAGCGCAGCGCTCTAACCGCTACATTAGCACTCCCCACAGACACTCTTGCAAACACACACACACTCGATCTCACACACGCACAGTCAATTCACCTGCTGTTTTCTCCTGAAGTCGATATAAAATGTCCAGGCAGGCCCATCTCATGTCTAAGTTGAGGTGGAATAAATGCCAGGACGGAGGATAAACCTGCAGGGAAGATTACAGGAGGTGAATAACAAATGAAAATACAGACACCCCATGTAGCCAATACACCACCACTTCCCGCAATAAACACAAAGACAAAGATCCCCTGTATAGCTTCAACAGACTGTTGGGACAAGTGCCGTTCGCAAGCGCCTATAAAGGCCGGAACGAGACACGGGGGGGGGGGGGGGGGGGGAGGGGGCGCCTTCGTCTCCCTCATGGCGATGTTTACACAACGCACCAGGTACCTAGGAGAAGCTCAGGACCGGTTCAGACAATCGTCACTGGTGTTGGCCATGAGCGGGAATCGTACACAGGCCGCCGGGTTCGAACCGCAGTGCACTGACCACTGCGCCACCGCTCCCCACACACATACACATATACACAGACACACGTACACAACTTAAGACACGCGCTCCAACACACACGAACACCCGCCTACGTGCCCAGGACTGACTGAAGGAGCAAAGTGCTGTTAGCGTGGCACCGTCAGAAGGCACGGTGGACGTGTCCGCGTACCTTAGCGGAGGGCTGGTGAACGGGGAAGTCACCCAGTGATCCCAGGTGCTGCAGCAAGGAGCTCAGCTCTACAAGCACACGGGACGGGAGGGAGTCCTGTAGAGGGCTGACTGTGTGTGGGGTGCACACATCCAGCCAGCTGTGGGTACACACAGCATACACACAGTGTACACACATACATGTTACACACAGCACACACACATACATGTTACACACACCTTACACACAGCATACACACATACATGTTACAACACACCTTACACACAGCATACACAAAAACATGTTACACACAGCGTACAAAGACACATGTTACACACACGTTACACACACAGCGTGCACACACAGCGTACACACACATACATGTTACACACAGCAGACATGCACACGTTTACACAGGATGGGAGGGAGTCCTGTAGGGGAGTTGACTGTGTGGGGAGTGGAGATGCAGCCAGAAGTGGTACACACTGCACACACATTACACACACAATACACAAAAGTACCCACACAGTGTACACATAAATGTTACACACATTACACACAATTTACACACATTACACCGACACATGTTACACACACGTTGCACACACACTTACACCTTACAAACGTCATACTTACACCAGTTAAACGAAGCACACACGTTAAACATACAATACACACACGATATAATATACACGTATTCACACGGCACACATTAATAATACGATATATACACGCATAGACGTGGCATTGGACAAACTTTCCAGATTCAAGATACTATGCACATGCATACACATCACACATCCTGTACACAAACATGGCAATATTACTACGATGATCATGGTGCAGCGTGCGGATGTGCAGGGTTTGTCTTGTAAGAGCGTAGTTAAGTCATTTGTTTTCAATATACTTGGATATACTTTAAAAAAAACAGATGTTGGCCACCGAATCAAGACGGTCACCGCATCGCACGCCGCTTTCAGACGCGCGTTCTGCGGCCGTCTGGAACGCTCTTCCTTACCGATATTAGGAAGCCATTGGGAGCTCTGCCACTTTGAAATCATCATTTAGATTGACAAACTTATTTCTTTAGAACCGCTCGTTGTTGTGTTTAGTTTGTTGTCCTTTCACCGTACCCTCCGATTAGCATTGATGGCTACGTACGGTGATGCGAAAGAAGTTCCACACAAGTACATGTATAGAGAACCACAGGCTCACATGGAGACCAATAGACTCACACAGTGACCCACATACTTGCATAGATTGAACACAATAGACTTTTAAAAAAAGTATCTACAACTGCTCTTTGTTCAATTGGTTGTCCTTTCCCCGCACCTCCAATTTGCACGGCCTGCTACGTACGGTGGTGCGAAAGAAGTTCCACACAAGTACATATATAGAGAACCACAGGCTCACATGGAGACCAATAGACTCACACAGTGACCCACATACTTGCATAGATTGAACACAATAGACTTTTAAAAAAAGTATCTACAACTGCTCTTTGTTCAATTGGTTGTCCTTTCCCCGCACCTCCAATTTGCACGGCCTGCTACGTACGGTGGTGCGAAAGAAGTCCAACGTGCGTACGTGAGATGATGCCGCCGATGCTCTCACCGATAAATGCAGATGCGGACATACAGCATGAACTTCACGCACTCCTTCCGAATGCCCTCAGCTTCACAGTGAATTCCTTTGAGCTGCCCTAAATACACACACACACACAAATATGAAGGCCGGCACGGCACATGAGGGGGTGGTGTGGCCAGCAACAACGGCCGGCCCGCCTTTGTCGACATTTACACACCACACCAGGTACTCGTTTGAGGCCGAATCTACCTAGGAGAGGCCCAGAACGCGATTCAGATAATCGTCAACATTGTTGGCCGTGAGCGGGAATCGATCTCGGGTCGCCGGGTTCGTAGCGCAGCGCGCTGACCGCTGCACTACCGCTCCCCTATACACATACAACAACAAGCGTCATTTGCCACTAAGTGGCGGTGACGTCACCACGGCGCCTGTGCCAGGCCATGTGCACGTTGAGGCCACGTGAAGTGCTGAACGCCCGCTGGCAGGAGGTAACAGGGCAGACCCAGGTGCCATGGGTCGACTGACTGAGATGACGGGTCGACTGACTGAGATGACTGGCCGATGCACCAAATGTGCCCCCTACTGTGCCAACAAACACACAGAGATATACATACAAAGACCCCCCCCCCCAACCTATAGAATTAGACTGTTGGGGCAAGCGCTGTTAGCAAGTACGGATGAAGGCCGCCATGACACACAAGGGGGTGGCACACCCACATACAGCTCCTTAAGCAGCAGGGCATGCAGGGAACAAAACAAAATTAAAGCATTCTGGGAAGGGTGGCACTGAGGTCAGATGACCGCACTAGAGGTGGGAATTAGCAGGTGACTCATTGAAGGCTGAGCTTACCTGGTGGCGCATCATCACTCACCACTGTGTTGTGTGCGAGTTAACGTATGTGTGCGTGTGTGTGCTGACCAGTGGGGAGTGGTAGTGTGGCGATTAGCGCGCTGCGCTACAAACCTGGCGACCAGAGTTTGATTCCTACTCACGGCCAACATCAGTGACGATTATATGAACCGGTCCTGGGCCTCCCCTAGGTCGACTCAGCCTCAAATGAGATCCTGGTGCGGTGTGTAAACATGGCCACTCAGGAGATAAAGGCGGCTGGGCGTGGTGCTGGCCACCAACCCCCTCATGTGCCGTGCCGGCCTTGATAGGTGGTCGCGAACAGCACTTGCCCCAACAGTCTGTTAAAGTCTATACGGGGGGAATCTCTGTATTTTTTTTGTGCTGACCTCACCACCCCCGCGTGCAAAATGCCAACCTTAACGGGTGTTTGCTAACAGAACTTGCCCCAACAATTTGTGTAGGCTACACGGGAATGTTGTCTTTGTTTATATTTGTGTATTTGTCTATGTTATACGTGGCATAAGTGGTTAGTGAGCTGCGTGACAAACCCTGATGACCCATGTTCGATTCCTGCTTATGGCCAACATCAGTGATGAACATCTGAAGCGGTCCTGGGGCCTCTAATAGGTTGACTCAGCCTGAAATTAGAACCTGGTGCAATGTGTTGACGTCGCCGCTAGGAACACAAAGGCGGCTGTGCGTGGTACTTGGCCATCCACCCCCTCGTGTGCCATGCCGGCCTTCAAAGGTGCTACTCGCTAACAGCACTTGGCCCAACAGTTTGTTAAGGCTATACGGGGTATATTTGTATTTGTGTAAGCCCAAACGTGTGTAAAAGTCCGTGCGTGCGTAAGCTCTTGCATGTGTGTATGTCTGTGTGTGTAAACTTACGCGTGTATGTAAGCTCGTGCATGTCTGTCTTTTGTGTAAACTCGTGTGTGTAAAACTGTGCATGTGTGTGTAAGACCGTGTGTGTGTGTCTTTGTGTGTAAGCCCATGCGTGTGTGTATGTCTTTGTGTGTAAGCCCGTGTGTGTATGTCTTTGTGTGTAAGCCCGTGTGTATGTCTATGTGTAAGCACGTGTGTGTGTAAGCCCATGCCTCCGTGTGTGTGTATGTCTTTGTGTGTAAGCCCGTGTGTGTGTCTTTGTGTGTGTAAGCCTGTGTGTGTATGTCTTTGTGTGTAAGCCGTGTGTGTGTATGTCTGTGTGTAAGCCCATGCGTGTGTGTCTTTGTGTGTAAGCCCGTGCGTGTGTATGTCTGTGTGTAAGCCCGTGCGTGTGTATGTCTGTGTGTAAGCCCGTGAGTGTGTATGTTTGTGTGTAAGCCCGTGCGTGTGTATGTCTTTGTGTGTGTAAGCCCGTGCGTATGTCTGTGTGTAAGCCCGTGCGTGTGTATGTCTTCGTGTGTAAGCCCGTGTGTGTATGTCTTGGTGTGTAAGCCCGTGCGTGTGTGTGTATGTCTTTGTGTGTAAGCCCGTGTGTGTGCGCGCGCAGAGCTAAACCCAGAATAAATTTTAAATCCGCAGCAGCAGAAAGAAAAGAAGAAAAGGGAGGGAGAAGAGAGGGAACTCTAAAGCTGTGTCTGTAGCCAGCACAAACCCCTAGAGCTGCTCCATGTGTGTGTGCGAGTGTGTGAGAGGCGCGTGCGTGTGTGCGAGCGGAGTCTATGGCAGTGCCAGCCTTAATAGGTGCTCGCTAACGGAAGTTGCCACGGGAGTATTTTAAAGGCAACAGAGGGGATCTTTGCGAGTCAGTATCTCTCTCTCTCTACGTGTATCTGTGAGGTGCTGGCCGCTGAGAGCGGTAGTTTAGTGGTAAGTGCGGCTGTGTTAAGAACCCGGCCACCCGAGTTCGATTCCCCCTCACAGCCAACACCAACGACGATTATCTGAAACGGTCCTTAGACTCCCCTAGGTCGACTCAGCCTCAAATCAGTAGCTGGTGCAGTGTGTAAAAACTTCGCCACTGGGGAGACAAAGGCGGTCGGGCAAAGTGCTGGCCACCCACCCCCTCATGTGCTGTGCCGGCCTTCATACGTGTTACTCGATAATAGCACTTGCCCCAAACGTCTGTTAAGGCTATACGGGGGACCTTTATATCTGCGTGAGTGTATACGTGTGCAACTGTCTGTATCTGTGTGTGTCCAGTCAATCCATGGCACCTGGGTCTTTCCCGTGACCTCCTCCTGCCAGCAAGCCTTCAACACTTCACGTGGCTTCAAAGTGCAGCTAGCCTGGCACAAGCGCCATTGTGACGGGGATTGTTGTTGTGTCCGGCACAGTGGGTGAGCCGTGGAGCAGGAGTTTGCGCGCTGCACTACGAACCTGGCCCTCCCCCTACTTCAATTCCCGCTCACGGCCAACACGAATGAGGATTATCTGAACCGGTCCTGGGCCTCCCCTAGGTCGACTCAGCCTCCAATGAAAACCTGATGGAGTATGTAAATACCGCCACTAGTGAGACAAAGGCGGCAGGGCGTGGTGCTGACCGCTCATCCCATCATGTGCCATGCCGGTCTTCATAGGCGCTACTCGCTAACAGCACCTGCCCCAAAAGTCTGTTTAGGGTATATGGGGGATCTGTCTTGTCTTAGTGTCCAGCACAAACCCCAAGAGCCACACTATGTGTGTGTCTGTACGAGTTCGTGCGTATCTTTCAACGTGTGTGTGATTGTGCGCGTCTGTGTACGTGTCTTTGCGACACTCTTTCGTGAGTGTGCGTCCGAGTACGTGCCTGTTCGCACATCTGAGCGTGTGCGTTGCGTCATTGGTGTTGCAGTGAGCACTTGCCCCCAACAGGCACACACACTGACACTCGTGTCAGTGTGTGTGCGAAGCAATGGCGCAGTGGTTAGCACACCGCTCTACGAACCCAGCTACCCGAGTTCGATTCCCGTTGATGGTCAACTCCAGTGACGGCTATCTGAACCGGTCATGGGCCTCCCCTAGGTCGACTGGATCTACAATGAGTACCTGATCGCCTCTGTGTGTGTGTATATGCCGGGCGTGGTGCTGGCCACCCACCCCCTCGTGTGCCGTGTCGGTCTTCATAGGTGCTACTCGCTAACCACAATTGCCCCAACAGTCTGTTAAAGGCTATACGCGGGGATCTGTCTTTATACCAGTGTACATGTGTTCTATGCGTGAGTATACATGCGCGAAAGTGGACTTTCGCACATAGAAAAAGATAAATAGACATGAATACACGTATATATGTGTATCTGTGCGTGAGTGCATACGGTACTGTGATGTGTGTGTGTAAGCGTAACTGCGTTGTCATTGTGCGTACATCTCGATGTGTTTACGTATGTGTGCGTACCTCTGTGTTCGTATATATTCATGGATATACGTGTGTGTGCGTGTGTGTGAAGATAGGTGTGCATGTGTTTGTGAGAATATTTGTGTACGTGTGTAGTTCTCTGTGTGGGTGTATGCATGTATATCTATAGTGTACAGTATATCTCTATAAGTGTATTCACGTGTGTGTGTGTACATATATTTATACGAGTGCACGTAGATATATATCTTTATGGACGTTTGTGCGTGTCAAGCATGTGTCTTGTGTATGTGCATGTATATCTCTTTGCATGTGAGCATGTGCGTTTTAGCGTGTGTGTGCATGTGTGTAAGCGTGTGTGTAAGCGTGTGCATGTGTGCGAGCGAGCGTGCGCGCGTGTGTGTGCATGTGTGTAAGTGTGTGTGTGTGCGTGTGTGTGTGCGTGTGTGTGCGTGTGTGTGCGCGTGTGCATGTGTGCGAGGGCGCGCGTCTGTGTGCGATTGTTAGCGCCGTCAATCAATGCCGTGAGCTCCGTTGTGGCCGCTCAGCCTTTGAGTGACGGCGTAAAGACGGAGAGAGAGAGAGGGAGGGAGGGAGCGAGAGGCAGGAGGGAGACGGGGAGATGGGGACACACAGGGAGGGGAGAGAGGAGTGGGAGAGTGTGTGAGACTCACACACACGGGGAGAGAGATGGAGAGAATGAATGACAGACAGATGGATAGACAGAGGCACATACGAACAGACAGAGGGAGACAGAGGCACATCGATACAGGGGGTAACAGACACAAAGAGGGGCAGACAGTGGTATGGAAAGACAGAGAGGGACAGACGGATGCAAAGACAGGGGTGAAGAAAAGCGACCGGCAGACAGGCAGAGGGACAGAGACATACCCGACACACGGATGCAGACAAGAAGACACGAAGAACTACAGACAAGACACAGACAAAAAACCAAAAGACATGCACATAGAAAGAAAACAAAAAC